AGTTTTTCAGCTTCGCTTTGGTCCCGAGAGCTCTGAGAAACTGTGAGCAGAGATAAAAGTTCAGCCGACGTTTTGCTTGGGGTCTTTTGGTTTTTTCAGGGTTCTCTAGGGGGTTGTCTTATGACTGAGGAGTTTGACTTGGCTTTGGCCTGGGATTAACTAGGCTTAAATGCTCTCTGCGCAGGAGAGAGCAGAGAGGAAGCGCAGCAACAGCGTAGAGGCAAGCGGCGTTTTGGAAGTTTCGGATAGGGCCTTGGCTACTGAAGTGTTGGAAGTTGTTTTGAGGCCGTTATAAGGTTTCCGGGAACACGTTGTTCACCGAGGTTCTGGGGATTTAGAGTTTGGTTATCCGGGTCAGAAAGATGTATAGTCGAGGAGCCTGGTTTGGGACCTCTCTCCGTTTGAGGCTGGAGAATCCCCGCAGAATCCTAAAAGGTTTTGCCCAAGTTCGTCCAGTGCCCAGAGAGCTGATCACGGGTCTACGGTCTACTACGTTGACGGTTCGATTATTTTGGAACAGATCCCTACACAACCTGCAATGAAAGATCCCTTTACGCGCAGGTGGGGGGGGGGGGTTCTCGGGTTGACCTGCCTGCTGCGTGCCCTGTAACATCAACAACCTTACTGCCCAGCAGCCTGGTTTTCTTGCTCTTTTGCAGGCCGACGTCGATGCGCCAAGCTCCAAATCCCATAAGACCGAAGCCCAATGCCCACATTGCAAAACTGAAGCAGCAAACTGAACAAAGGCACCTCGGCCGAGATCCCCATGATATCTCGGCACCGCCCAGCTTTCGGACATGCTCTTGAAGACATGTCGGGTTGATGTCAATGATTGATACATTTCTTTGTCCCTGAGACGACCGTGTCGAGCAGCTACAATCACAACTTCGACAAGGTGGGCGCAAAGGCCCGGAGATTTTGAGCTGATGTCAGTGTCCAGCCATAGGGGTGCATGGGGATGTTGCGGTTTCAGGTGTGGGTGAAGGGATTAGGGCGAAGAGTCCAGCGTTTCAGGGTAACAGAGTTTGCCGAACCTCCGGGCTTACATGCGGTTCACTGTAGGCTCAGGTCAGCCCGAGCGAAGGCTTGAACCCTAAACTACACATGAAGCATTTGGCGACTCTACTACATACCTTCCCCTGCATCGACGGAAGCAGTTCTATATGTATAAAATAGTAAAAACACAAAAAGTAGAAACTTAGATAAGTAGATAGGTAGAAAGATATGTTTCCAAAGTATGTGGCATTCCACACCCCGGCATCCCAAACCTGGCTCCTGAACTTGCAAAGCGACTTCATCCCAACCTCCCCCAAGAAACCTTCGACCCACAGAGATACAATAAGAATGAACACAAACATCTCAGCCCAAATTGGCATGTGGAGAGAATTGGTTACAAGTTTTAGGCCCTTCGGAATCTTGAACTCGATGTTGATTCGGTGGTCTACTCCAGATCGGGATCAACCCGATTTGCCGATGTCCATATCTCATCTCCCAGTTGTTCTCGATAATCACCCGACAGCTTGTTTTGATGTAGTTTGCATTCTGTTCTAGGCTACAGATTTGAAGTCTCAACTTCTAACTGATTCTAACTTGACAAGGCTTTTGCTGCGGTTCGGTTGGATAGTCAACCTTACTCCCACCCTACGCCCTAAACCCCCAAGCTCCAGACCCTTAGCATCCCTCAAGATGGAGCCGTGGCACGGTGTCAACATGCCCTGAAAGATAGCACGACAGGTCACGAAGTTGGAGGAAGAGTTTGGCAAGGTCCATGCCAACATCTCACAGATCAGCGAGCTACTGTGCACAGAGAGAGTTTTGTCTTTCAGAGTTGACGGCGCCTTCCGGCTCGGGAGCTCCGTTTGTAACACAGGACACAGGGGCCGAAATAATTGCCAGTTCTGAGGGTTCCTTAAATATATTTATGGTTTAATTGCCCCGAAACCCCATTCTAATTATTAAAGCCCCTATGTTATCCTTCCGCTACGTACGTGGCTTCAGATGGCTCAAGTAAACCCCTGCGACTACTGGCGGGGGGGTGAGGCTGGTAGTGATGGACCGTTCTTCACTCTGCCTGTCGACCTTCAGAATCCCCATTATTACAGAGTAAATCCCACCCTCGGAAGATTCTGTCGGCGCCTCAATGACTACACATATTGTGGTGTCTCGACCCAACTTAGGAGTCTCGGGTGATGTAGTCGAATCCCCAGAGCCAGGTCAGTTTCCGCAGTTGGCTGCAAGCCGAAGCAACTTCTTCACAGGCTGTTTGTTGCAGGCATCAGAGGCTTTCGGAGGTCTTCAGAGAACCATGATGGTAGACTCCAGATGAAAAGCCCTCTGGCTTCATAAGGATTGTAGAAGGGACCCTAGCATTATTAAGTTATTCTGGCCATCAAAAGCAAGGACAGGGGCCCGTCTGACACTAACTGCTGGTGAGCCTCCTGTAAGGGACCGTGAAAGCTCATGGCTTTGTAACAGAACCCCGGGCCCACGCAGAAATTGCAGCCATTGCGAGACGAGACGCCCCTAGTCCTTGGACCGTAGACCCGAGACCCTGAAGGTACGATCAAAATTTTCAACCCGAATGAAACCTATTCACCCTAAACTCTAACCGTTGGCCTTCTGTTTCCTTGGCTTAGGATCCTTTCTCAGCGTATGGCGCCGCGCAGCAAGGGAATCCAAAGCAGCAAGCAAGAGTGAGAGCGGTCATTCTCACAGGGGTTGAAGATCTACCTGGCCTCACCCGCATCAGCCCTCGATTGACAAGGCAGCTACACAACCTCTCAAGACCTCTCCAAAGCTCCCAAGCATCAACGAATCACTGAATCGAACCCCCTAGCGGAACCGAAGTAAACTCTAAAATCCTAAGCCCTTCGTTAACGTTCCTCGCCGCCCGGGCCGGGAAGGGTGGGCTTCGCGCTCCTCTTGTTCACACACTTGATCTAGGCTTAGGACAAGGGGTGTAAGATCTGGGTCCTCAGTTCTAACTTGTTTAGGAGCTACGTTGTGGGTGTTGGTTCGGGGTGAAAAAGCTTGTTTGCAAGCCAGTTGCTGCTGCCAGCTCACAAGGCAGTGGTACTTGTTCACCTATGTACTTGGGTTCCTTATGCAGTCTGAATTCGCGCGTATACATACACTATGGTGAGGCTTACTTGGTATGTCTATCTGTTGTGTGTTTGTGATTGATATATATATATATATATATATATATATATGTGTGTGTGTGTGTGCATGGATGCTTAACCGAAGGAAGTTCAAGGTTTCGTGTTTGACAAGCAGACCAACATGAAGTAGACGAAGAAACAGACAAAGGGATCTATGTGTGGGTATAATGTATTACATATATATATGTATATGTATGTATACCTGTATATATATATATATATATTACCTGTTATGTTTATGTATATACATATACTTGTGTTTATTTGTTTGGTGTTCCGATGTTGGCATAAACCATGATACCTTAGTTTTTTATGTAGCGTTTCATGTCTGGATATGAGGAGCCGAACCAAGGCCTCCCTTCCACAGCCTTGGAAAGCGCCGAGTGGGAAGTGCAGAGGAATCGTCCCTAAGGTCTACTGAGATACTGTTGCTGTCTTCTGTTGCAATGACTGCTACTATTAAATTTGGTACGATTACGACCACTGCCACTGCTAAAAATAACCATTTCGATTACGATTATTGTTGACAGTACCCTTTCTATTGCTACTAAAAACAACACTTTGAAAGATAAGATTGAGAGCCTTCCTACTCGGCCCCAGCAGCCAACTGCTCGGGATCCACCATTGGTGATGTTTCACTTCGTACTAGTACCCACCCGATCCACTTGCAGAAGTGTTGCGTAGAGGTCATCACGCTGTGGCAGCACACCCATGCTCAGCAGATCTGATTGAAATAGTATTGATAGACGGAGAGATGCAAGCACGGCTGATGGAGAGCTCACTTCCTCTTGCAATGACCATGGACATGATTGCCTGTCGTCTTGACGCTCTGCAGTTTCGTCCCGAAGGGACCACTAAGATAGATAGGTCACTTGCAAGCAGCCTCCATGGGCATGTATCTAAACGCTGAGCCCAAAAGACCGAAGGTCGTGCTCTTGACGACGAGTACTTGTACAATGTGTTGGGTGTTTCGGCTTCATGCACTTCTAGTGATGCCAGACCTGCTCCTTCCCACCGCGAAGACGACTACTGCAGACTTACTACGTTCAAGACTGCTGATGCCACATTTCCCTGCTGTGGCTGCTGCTGCTGCTGTTGTTGTGTCGGTAAGCATACGGCTTCACGGCTGTCCCATCTGCCGAACACACAAGTTCGTGCACCTACGGAGGCTGCTAGCAGCGCATGTTCTCACTGCACGGTTTGCGCGGACGGCAAAAGGACTTCCTGAGTATTCACACTTAGGGCTCTTCGTCCTAGTAACAGTCTTGCAAAAGGGGCTTCAGGGATTCGCATCGTTTTGAGGGTCTGACCATTCAGGGTTTAGGGTGTACGGGTTTAAGGTCGAGACTGCGGAGTGCTCAGGATGGAGAGATCTAGGGTTTGGAGTTTTAGCATTCAGGGACTCTACCTTCGCGTTTAGCAGCTCCTAAATCATTCAATCCTTGGACTTTTCGTAACGCTTTAAGCCCCTCAACGTTTAGAGCTCTACTGCGCATGGGCCTGCGGGATAGTCTGCGGGATGGGCTGAGGCTTCAGGCGGCGCACCATTACCTTCCGGTTCCGGGTTCAGGGCTTGGCGTTTAGGTTTTGGTTTACGTTTCGGGTTATGGGGTCTTGTTTTCGTGTGCGTAGGGTTCGATTCGACAGAGGCGCAGGATGTTGAGGCTGGAGTACGTAGCGTCGTGAGCTGTAAGCAAGCTGCTGTGGCCCTCAAGCGCCAGGCGACTTAAATCGGATTCTCGCCCAACTTCTGCATTAGAAAGCCCGATCCCCACGAAAAGCACAGTTTTCAAGCACAAATTCCGAAAGCCCGAGGCCGGCAAGACCAGCACTCTCAACATGCTGACGGGTGCCGTCCTCCCCTCCGCTGGCTCTGCATTCCTTGGAGGCTTTGACATCGTTCAGGATCAGAGGAAGGCGGGCCAAGGGCGCCCCTGAACTCAAAGCAAAAGCAAGCCACCAGGATGTGTCTGTGAAACAGATATTGGATAAATAGCCTTCCTCATCATGGTAGCTTAGATGATAAGCCCATAAGCCCTTTGTCAAGAATTGCCCCTTCACAGAGAACCCGCATTGGGGGACACCGTAAACCTTACTCCCGAAACCCCTAAACCCTGAACCCCTAATCTCCTGCTAAACGATCCCGGCAGGTCCGACGCTTGTTGGGTTTCTGCCCGCAGCACGATGCACTCCTTGACCGGCTCACGGTGGGCATCGTATCTTCAGGGCGTGCGGTTAGCACCATGTGCTTGCTCACATTATGGTGTCGATACGCAACTAATGAGTGTGTGCGTGTGTGTGTGTGCATATGTTATGTGTACGCTGGCGTTGGTGGTTATGCGTACACGTGTGTCTGTGCGTATGTCTGTAAGTTTCATTCAGGTCACACCAGGGGGTTGCAGAGATCCCAAGTGCCAAGACTGCGATAATTTGGCTATCATCCAAAAGCTGCAGATGCACCGCACCGTAAACTTTGCCAAGACCCCAAACCCACATGCTTTAGCCCTAAACCCGAAAGGTTCGGGAGCACTTGGAGCTTTTTGGACGCATCAAGGGCATTCCGAATCATGTGCCCTGGCGGCAATTTGGCAATATTCCGATAGGGGTGTATAAGCGTTCCGGGATTTTGGGGCTCAGGGCCTCAGTGCCTTCTGGATTTTTTGTCCGTGTGTGAGGCTGTAGGACAGCATCTATCCAGAAAGTGTCTCACTCCTTCTTGCGACGTCCGGCAAGCAGTGAGGCAATCAAGGAGCTTTGCGATCAGATGATGCAGGACCTTGGCACATCATCTTGAAGAGCCGAAACCCTAAGCCCTAAACCGTGCCTGAAGCCCCAATCCCTGCAAGCTTCCCGGAAACGTTTGCGGCATGCTTGGGACCTTAACCTGGCAACTCAAACTTCTGTGGTCCAGCAGGCAAAGCTTCGGAAAGCAGGCAGCCTTATGTACGTATTCTCAGGATTAACGATTATCAATTATACTACAGGAGCCTTGGCCTTAATAATTAGAATAGGTTTTTGGGGGCTCCTTATCACAGTTATAGTATAATATGCCCTCAAACCCTATTCTAATTCTTAAGGCCGGTATATTAAATATAGCCACGCTTGTGGGGATAGCACCTTAAAAGTTTGAAAGTTTATGCTTAGCTTAGGGGTGGGGGCCTTTAGGTCTCGAGGGGCTTTGAAGACTTGGGTTTCAGCGCTTCAGGGCTTGAGGGTTTGACACCCAGGTAGCCACCCTTGCTTCGAGGTGGAGCAAAACATTCCGGGCTTGCAGGTTTCGGTTTTGCGGGTTATGTTCCTACAAGCAACTTCAATATGCACCAGGTTTCCAATCCTCGTTCTGACCATCTAGGCCAATCAAGGCTCCGGCATTGCGTAAGCCTTCCTTTGCTGTGGCCCCGAGGCCATCAATCGACTGCTCACTAGTCATGACCAGCTCGTAGCCGAAGTTGCAGCAAGTTGCAGACCTTAGGATGGTTTCATTCTCAAGCCATTAGAATCACTAGAGGTGTGTTTGTGTGTATAAATATACATATATATATATATATATATATATATGAAGTGGAAGTGCGTTTAGGGTTTCGGCGTTTGGGATGGTAGGGTTCAGACAACAGGACCTTTCTCTCTCACCTCATGTGGACAAACTGGCCATGACGCTGAGTGGTGGGAACAAGCGCAGCTGGGCTGAAAACTTAAACGCAAACTGCACCTTGGACCGTAAACTGCCATAACAATCTTAATGTGTATTCGGAAGCATCTTAGTTAGAACCCATAGGGGCCCTCCAGAACATGAGTCCTGGTAGTGCTTAAGTTGAAACTCAAACTCAGACCCTATCTGACGCCTACGTCGCTGCGCGCTTTGGCCCTAAGGCCCCAAGTACATAACGCGCGGATACTCCCCTCAATCCTACACCACAGTTACCTCCATCCTACATCCGGGCATGCAATCCTTTCAAGGCCTTGTCTCTAGATCGTAAGAGCGCTGTCGTATTCTCAAGGCAAGCTGTCGCTGGCCATCGCACTTATGGCCTCGCCCCCGTTGGTGTTCCTCGACGAGCCAAGTCGCCTGGAAGCAAAATTGTTTCAGGAGTTTCTATGACTCTGCATTATTTCACATAATGCGCATTAGGTTGCATTAGATCGAGACCCCGCAAACTCTGTAGGACGCGTCAGTTTAGGACCGCACGAAGTACTGGGTCGCTCGTGGTTTGTGATTTTGCAAGCCAGAGCCTAAATCTCGTGCCCTCGCCTGGATCCTTAGGGTTTAGGATGATAGTTGATATCAGTTGGTACCCGCGGAGTAGATGAGTACTATAGGGTTAGCACTGGTAGCTGTGGTTGGTATTTCGGGGAGTACATCGTAGCTCAAATTTTAGGGACAAGGTTAAGCTGTCAACCCGAAACCGGCAAACCAAATCCGACACACCAAAGCCTTGGAAGCAAGTCCTGACCTGAAAGCCTTACCCCGAAGCAGAAACTGTTGGAGCTCCCGACGACGCAACATCGGGGTTTGGGTGACTTGTTAATTCCATGATTCTTCGGAGTCCCTAATGCATCTATAGAAGTACAGGCACAGCCAACACATCCACGTAAGCTCCAGTTTGGGTGGTTTTTGAACTTCGGTTATAAAAAGAGCCGGGCAACGAACTCAGGCACAGGCGTAGATCCTGCCGCTCGACGACTGATGTGGCACCCTAGCTGCCCTGGCATCGAGTGAAAAACCTCACAGCCCAGCTGGATGTTCCGAATCAATCGGCAGGTTGGTTATAATGAGACTTCAAGGGGGTTCTGAAGAATTGTGTCTGGATTGTGGGCCGAAGGCTCATAGTAGGTTTCGGGCTGGAGGGTTTCGTTTCTAGGTTTCGATTTTTGTCCGAGAGCGAAAACCATAAACCCAAAGCCACCAATGATTTGGCGCCGAACACACCTTGACCCTAAACTAGACGACTCAAAATTCCCAGGCTGTAGGCTGTGATGCAAAGCCGGACGCTTCAACGACAGAGTTTCAGGCCCAGGATACGCAGTATTCACATCGAAAGTCAGCGGAATGAGAAGACAGCAGAAGTGTTCAGTATATATATATATATATAGATGGTGGTCGACTCCTCAAGAAGCCCGGCTCGTCCTCAGGCATGTCATTTCAGCCGTCTCGACGATGCGCCGAGAAAGTACAGTCGGGATCCGAGAGCAGAGCCCGTGGCCCCTTCCCGGGTGTTTTTGTGTCTCAGACTTATGGTCCTGGACATAAGTCGGACTTTGCATACTCATTTATATAGGAGTTTCGGAGTTCATGTGCTGGGTGCGGGGTGTAGGTTAGAAGGGAAAAAGTATGGCTCAGGGTTCCTGGTGGCCGCTAACTCCGAAAGCCCTCAGAAACCAGGACTGTTGCCTGCAATCTTGGAAGATGCTTGTTCTTGCAATTAGAGCAAGTTACCTTTAACCGTTTTGGTGTTGCTGCAATGAATATACAACCCCAGAGGTTAATCTTCGGTTCTCGTGGACAACTGGGTAATCTCCTACGACTCAGGCGAGGCAGAGACCAGAAGGTTTCTCAATGACTCTCCGACAGTTTCACTGAGACCTCCAAGCCTCAGCGCGCCAGAGAGAATCTTTTCGGCCAGCGAAACCGAATCCCAGGCAGATGAGCCATACGGACAGTCCTAGTCGAGACCTTGCAGCTCTAAACCGCCAGGATTGGACCTTCAGACCAGGGATCCCAAATAGACCCTGCAACCGTAAACCCTGAACCGTGAGCCCTCGGCCAAAAAACCCTTGGAGCGCAGCGTCAGGTCATCCTCACGACCCACAACATGGAGGAAGCCGAGGCTTTGTGCTCTCGTGTTGGCATCATGGCAGCTTGGGCATGATGGAGGAAGCCCCTAATCATTGTAGTCAAAAGAGAAAGAGTTTGCCAATAGCAATTTTTGAGAGCATCAACACGAATAATCAGAAATACTAGTGATAATGGTACTACTAAAAAGCAGAGGCAAAACAAAAACAGTCATAATAAAGTTAGAAAAAGGGTCTGAATAATGAGCGATTCTATTCCAAACAAATACACACAATCTCTCATGTCCTGGTGGAAAGGCAGATTCAAGAGTCTGAAACACTGTACATGGACAGCAGTACATGCCAACCTCCTGTGAAGAGGAATGTGAAGTGGCCCCTTTGCAGCATTTTGGTTTTTGAGTTTGATGAAAATGCACGGGTGTTCTCAGTTGGCCTCTGCTAGAAGAACGACGGATTATTGTGACAGGAATACGCAGAAGCTACATTGCTAGCAGCGTATGCATGAATAGATTAACACCCATGAAAATGTCAATTTGGCTGCGGATTTTGATAGTGCAGTCTTTCTACCAGCCCTGGCCCACTCATAGCAAGCGTATTGGCAGCAACGCTGGCAGAAGTGGCTAGCAAAGCTGCCCTGGAGCCTCCGGATTCGATGGCTGCCTGAGAAACGAGCACTTAGGAGGAGCCTTTGTCTTGAAAGAGAGGGTTCGTTTTGTTGGAAGCTTAGGTCGGGGGGCGGCTGCGCTGCTTCGGCAGCAACCAGCGCTTGAAAGCTCGCTTCGGGCAGGGCTATCAGCTGGAGGCAGGGCACAGAGATTCAGGGCTCTAGCTCTAGCTTACTAATATAGGGGCCTGAAATATTTTTTGGGGGGGTTCCTTATTACAATTATAATATAATATACCCCCAAACCCGATTCTAACTATTAAGGCCCCTACATGCAGTAGCCCCCCGCAACGATCTAGGGGAGCAAGCAACTGCCACGGACAGGCCCGACTGTGTGCGGCTACACTCGGTGAGTGCGAAAGTTTCGTTCGCGAGAGGATGCCGGCCGGCTGCCGATTCAATCGTACTATAGGGGCCTCAATAATTCCCAACACTGTTTTTGGGGCTCCTCATTATAGTATACCAGGGCCCTAAAACCCCAGTCTAGTTATCAAGGCCCCTATAGTAGAGTGTTCTCTGATGTTGTTGCGGTGATGGTGTCTGTCTCTTCCTTGGAGACCTACTAGGTACCAAGGTTGGAGAACTTCATGACGGGTACTATGGAACTCGGGTTCTGTCAATTTCGGGTCTGCCTCTTGCTTGTTCGGGCCCGAGCTTCGGAACCGAATGGCACTTTTCGGATCTCGAGCGGTTTGAGGCTTCTCAACCTTCATGTCCTTTCGGGGTTTCGGGTTTTGAGTGTCAACCAGAAGCTCCTTGTAGGGTTCTGGGTTGCAGCCAACATCTCCATTCGGGATTCGGCAACCAACATTTCTTTTGAGGGTTGAGGGCTTCTTAACCAACATCTCCGTTTAGGGTTTTGGGGTTCTCAACCAACATCTTCTTTCGGGGTTTCCTGCAGAGGTTGCCATCGTTCATGCTCTTCTAGGGTTCTGGGTTGCCCCGCGTTCTAGAGTACTGGGTTTCACAACCGACATTGACCTTAGCCGTAGCTTAGGTGCTGCCCCCACACAGTAAGAGTCTATAATAGGGCTACTATTAAGGCCCCAATATATCCATATTAAGAATATTCTTCAACTATTGCTGAGTGGGGGCTGAACCCAAGTGCCGTAGCATTGACTAGTAGGTTGGTCGTACTACGACCCGAAACGGCCTTCTCCCGGCCTGAAATGACGCATGCCCGACCCGAACCGGTGCCCGAAATCGAACCCCCCGACCCGGCATGGTGGGCCTGAAACGTGCCGTGCCCGCTAAGCAACTTGATCATCAAACCCAAAGCACCTCGATCCAAAAAAACCCAAACCCAAAACCAACACAGCGGTTGCCTGCAGCGTGCATCCGTGCATGATCGAAACCGGCCCGACTTGCGTATGCCTCATTCGTGACGGAGAGGGGGAGTGTGCCTGCACCCCCCATTATTCTAAGACCTTCAATGAGAGAGCGTGAAGATGAAGCTGTCAAGTACGCTTACCTGAGGCTTCCAGACCGGCTGGATGCCGCAGCTGTGGCGGAGCAGTGCACTGCGGCCGGTAAACCAGGCAGGGCTTGGGTTCAGGGGACAAGACTTTAAGATTCAAGGCTTGGGGCTTGGGGTTCGTGCTAAGGGTTCTGCTTCCATCGGACATGCGTCAGTGCCAGGCTTCATGTCTCCTGGTTTCGAAAACTGCCACCCAGCGACTACCTAGTAGTCGCCAACAACTCAATTATGTAAGCTTGGCGACATCTTCCTCCATCTTCGCGATCTGTTCATTGGGTGCTTGAAGCTTTGAAACCATGCCATAACCTTAAGGCCAAAACTCCTAAACGCCAACAGCTCACAAACATGTGGGACCCCCGAAAGCCCGATACTTCGTATGTAATTCAAACCGTACCACAACTTCTAGTTTGTTGTAAAGCTTTACAAGGGCTTCATAAGAAGCACCATGCCGCCCCGTGTGATCTACGGTTTTTTCCTTAATTGCATGGTGCTGTGCTCTCTGCCACTGTTGGAATCTTTCGGGCCCCACGACGCTTCTCCGATCTTGATCCAAGGCCCCAAGTGCCAAGCCCGCAAACCCCTAAACCTTGCGCTCTTAAAACACGAGCTTGTAATTGAAACCATAAACCGTCGAAGCCCTCAGCCAAAAAAATAGAAACAGCATTTACAAGAGCATAAACCCCAAAGGGAACCTTGGAAGAGCCTTGCACAAGCACTTCTATAAAAACCCGAGAAACTTGCTTGTACCTTAAATCAGAACCTTAGAGTTTCCGATGACATCCCTACCCCCCCCCCCGACAAAGAAAGCTGTAAGCCACGCAGGAGGCCCAACACAAACCCCCATGTTGCACTAAACCCGTCAGACTAAAGTTACAACTTACTACCTTGTTCTTTGCTATATGGCGTTACACGTACTTACAGCATGGCACGGTGTAAGTGTTTGATATCTCCTGGAACCCGAAGCACTTGGACTGCCCAGACCGAGCTGCTCTCATTTGTCAAGGCTGCGAGGAAGGTTACGTCGTGCCTCGTTTCAGAGTCGCTTTAAGGGGGGCTTTGGGGCTTAAGTTTTGGGGTCGGCCCGGCTCGAGGGTTTGAGATTGAAGTGTTAGGTTTAGGGTCTTGGGATTTGTGTTTTTCTGGTGCTATCATGTTTCAGGCTATCCTGAAGCTCTTCGGGCAGTTCGGATTTTCAGATTCAAAGCCTGAGGTTTCAAGCTTATGGCCGTGGCTTCTTGGGCATTCGGGGCTCCAGACTCAGCTTGGAGAGATGTTGGGGCCTCATGCTATGATGTCCTCGCCCTGAGCTGTACGGCGTCGTGCACAGCCTTGGATTTTCCCGGGTGAAAACGGAGACCAGAGGTTGCCAAAGGATGGAGCACAGCTTAGACCCAAAGCCTTGTTCAGTGCTTGTCTTCGTCGGTGCCAAGAGCCCTCGACGACCCGCGACCCTGAATCGTGAAACCGAATACTAGACTCCAATCTCGAGCTTGTGGTTATTTGGAGGGAGCTCTACGTTCAGGGTTCTGTCAAGTTTTTGCTCAGCTGAGCCTGCTCTAGAGGCAAAGGGGTGAAGGAGGGTGGTTTCACCAACTTTACAATCTTAGAGTTGGGTTTTCAGGGTCCGTGTGCCTGGCGCTAGTGAATCCGGACCCCAGATACAATGCAGCCATGCAGCCCCAATGTTATTATGGGGAGCCTCAGCAATACTCACTACTGGGCTGCAAGTGTTCTGTTAACGAAAACCAAATTCAGCTGAAGTCCCAGAACCCACTCTAGCCTCTCTGTTAGGGACTTACGAACTCCCGAGCCCTCGACCGACGCCAGACAAGGTGTATGACAGCCTCAGTCGTGAAGGACCGGATCTTCCTACCAGCCTCCACTCTGATCTCACCACGACTTCTTCTCTCCGTCTAATGGTCGCCGAATCTCCAGGTCTCCGAAATAAATCCCTGTGTAGATGTCTACAACATGTCAACTACCTGAAGCTTTCCCTAAACTGCAAGTAGGCGAGAGCTTCGACCCCAAACCCTCAAGCTCAAAGCCCTAACCCCAACTACCGTCTTGTCTATTGCATCCTAACCACCTAGAATCCTTCTATTTGAGATACCTCTACAAGATACCTTGGTTAGTGGTTTCGGGCTTTTGGCTTAAGCGCCTAGAATTCCTTTACCACAATCAACTGCCAGGGTCGCAGAAGGCCCCCACATGAATGCTACCTCCAGTAGCCTCGGAGCATATGGGTGGTTGTCAAAATTATGGTCCATTTTGGGGCCCATGATATAGCACGGCACCTAATATTCAGGGTACCCAAAAAGGGACCATACCTTTGACAACTACCCAAATAGGAAACTGGACTTCCAGACGGGTGCTCTGGTGGCTCTGGGGCTGGCGGCACTGGCAAGGCGTATGATTGAAGACTTCCTGTCTCGTTATTAAAGCGGAGATCTCCTTCGGTTGCAGCTGCTTTTGCAAGGGATGCAGGAGGTGGGAAAGCAAGACTTGGTCTGTCGAGTTCGAGGCTTCCAGCTCTGTCCTCCCGACGGTCGTGGTTCTTCTCGGTTCTTGGTCACAGATTCCCCTTTAGCCGTGCCGGAGGTACCCGAGCTCCCTCGGATCCAGAAACCAACGGATTCAATCTACATGGGCTTCAGAGTTTAGGCGATCTGGATCAGTCCGAAATGCCGCAGTAAAAACCCGAAATCGCAGGATCCATTTCTGCACTCCATTTCGCAGAGTGGTGGCTATTCGAGGACCGCAAGCGTTAAACCTCGAACCCTAACCCAGAAACCCTGCGCACAACCCGACATGCTGGCCAGAACATCTTCCTTCCTTCAGCCGGTAAACCCTGTGATGTTCAAGCCCATATAGCTTAGCGGGTTTGGGGATAAAGCTCTGTTTAAAGAGCGTTACAAGGTCCTGTAAAACCAAGAGTATGAGCCCTGGTCCCCGTAAGCTTCAGAGGCGGCGGAGTGTTTGAAGCCCGATAGTCATTTCGGATGTGAGGTTCCGGGTTTGGCAACATCTGGTAATTAAGGTGATTGCTTGCAGAGAGGAAAGACGAGGGAGGGTGACATCCGGTGGAGGATAATTGGATCAATGCTGGAAAGCCTCTCGCCTTCCCCAGCCTTCGTCAGACAGGCATTTGCGACACAGGGTAACCTGCGACGCAAAAGCTGAGTCAACAAATACAAGCAAAGGCCCTACTTGTAAAGATTGGTACAGCAAGAAGGTCTCCCTACGAAGAGTGGCTATAACTATAGCCGAAATCCCAAACCCTGAACCCACAGTAGCAAGCAAGGCCACAACCATGACAACTCTAAATGCTAACAGCAGTCTTCAAGGCCAAAAGCTATTCCTGATACCAACGGCAGCAAGAAGAGCAATAATGAGGACACCTAGAATTTCATCCTCAGAAGGTTGTCGTACGGAGCTGTTCTAGTAGAGCTACGAGAGAAGTGGTGCCCTCGGATGCTTCGAAGGATAGCGCTCTGAAGTTGAACGAGTACTTGGCACAGCACTTTCCGGGCACTGTGCCCTTGGAGAGGCCGGTGTTAGCCGGGCTCAGCTTGAAACTGTTGGACTTTAGAGTTTGAGTTTACTATAGGGGCCTAAATAATTACCCTTTAGTATTTTGGGGGTTCCTTAATATAATTATAGTATAATGGGCCCCAATACCCCATTCAAATTATTAAGGCCCCTTGGGGTTTATGTATCACCGGCCGGCATGAATCTTTGAGCCAGCGCCTTGCAGTCCTTCAACCCCTTGACCCCTCACTCCTACGGACCCTAAGCTCAGCCACCCAAGTCCCAAAATCTTCGAGCCTGTATGACTCATCGTCCCCAAAGCCCAGTAGCCCGAACATCCTGCAGGCTGCACCAGAAACCCTATTTCACACGTCAAGTACAGGTTTCGGATTTGGGGTTTTGTCCCCACTTCGTATCCTTACATAACTTTTACCTGGCAGATGTAGACCTACGACATGTGTTTACACAAAACAAGGAATGGGGTTTCTGTATTCGGAATTCCCAGTATGGTTTGGGTAAGTATGCCCATATAGGTGTCCCCAGAAAGGTGCTTAGGATCCTTTGCAGCAGGCACGAGCATAACTTCCGCTTCCGTCTTCCGGCACAGAGTTCTCTTGGAGAGGCGATGCTGGGAAGGGTTGGGAACTTCACTGCTGGGCTTCGCGCCTAAGCTGTAACAATGTCCCTCATACTTCCTTTCTGGTTTTTCTATGATATTCCCCCGGGCATCCTTACTCTACATGTTAGCTAAGCCCGCTACATCAGCCATCGAGATTAAGGTTGAGTGATCAAGGCCCAGCGATAATTCAAATCCTTAGGGACCTCTTCGCCGGGATCTTGATACCCTTCAAGTCCTAGAGTTTTCCAGAAAGCAATCGAGCATTGAGCGAGTTTGTCGCCTGGGCCCAAGGCCAGACAGCACCTCGGGCCCCACCCCCCCAAAATTGGAAAGCAAACCAAAAGCATGGTGGCGGCACCAGGCGCTCGGTAAGCTGCACTACGAAGCTTCAGTGACCCGGAGCCCCCAGCGCAGAACCCTGCCCTTCGCGCGGTAATATGAACCCTAATCTAATCATGAAGGTCCCTAAGTACATTCAGAGTTCTTCAGAACCTCCAACAGTCTCACAACAACCCTGCACCACATCCCTTCCAAGACCCTCTTCCCTGTAGAACCAGACCATAAGTACAAGGGTTGCCAGAGGGAGTGGTAGAATGGTTGTTCAAGCTAGCAACAAGAGTTAGTCTTGGGTTTGCCCCGCGTTCTGCATTTTGATTAGGGAATTTGACTTAATAAAGTTGCCATGAAAGGGAAATCCTACCATCTGCCGTAGATCCTCATTGTGGTAGCTTAAACTAAGTTACCCTGTCACGGTAACCCCAGACCCAGTTCCCTAACAAGAACCCAGTGGTTGCAGGTTTTCCGCCTGCTCGAGGAATCGAGGAAGTCCGGCTGCTGTTGCTTTGGAAGTTCAGGAAGTTTTGGAGAGTTTAGAAGGTCAGGGAAGGGTCGTATAGAGGGGTTCTGAAAAGAGTTACATAAGGTTCTACAAGATCTGAGGGGTTTAAGCATGTGGCCTTTAGGGTTTGGGTCTGGCTTTATGAGCACTTCAGACTTCAGAGTATCGGGTAGGGTTTCGGTGTGCTGCGTGGCCTAACAGGCATCTCCGAATGCACGCCCGTGTGCACATCGTTTGTGTGCTGTCATTCCTTTAGTATTTGTCGGAAGTGATGACTCCTTAGGAGTTGGGACAGTTTGCCACCCATGTCACTCCTTCAAGTTTCGCGCTCTGTCTAGTCTGTTTACGGTCAGGCTAAACCCGAAAACCTAAACCCGAAAGGCCTGAAACCTTAACCCTCCACCCTAAATCCGAGCCGTGAGCCTGAAACGCCAAGTGACGAAATCCCAGGCCTAGAGATGCAGAAATAGAAGCCCGGCACGCTTTCGCGAATCCCTCGTAGCTGCGTTTCATGGTTTGGGGGCGCGTGTGGCTTTAGGGAAAAAGCGATACTGCGAACCCTAGATCAAACATCCCCAAGCCCCCATCTGACGCCCAGAATCCGAACCTCAGTATTTCATAAGTCTTGTGGAACTTCTTCGAAACCCGTATAAAAGAAGCTCCTCGCCTAGCGTTTCTGAGGGGCTCAGAGTCTCTAGAATTGCACCACGATAAGCGAGGAGGGAGTTGTCCCTCGAAGACTATGGCGTTAGCCAGTGCCTTGCCTCGAACTGTGCAGGGCTTCAGTGGCTAGATGCCCTAAACCGTTGAAGGCCGCATGTAAACCCTGCAAACTCTTACTGGCGTTGGGGCTTCAGGCTGAAGGCTCGGGAGACTTAGAGCTTAGGCTCTAGTTTTGGATCGAACCATGGCCTTCAAGACATGAAGCTTCAGGGAGCGGCACTGTTGAATCGTTCTCAGACCGCCACCCACGGTCCAGCTTGCCATCGGGCTGGGCTGTCCTCACCCCCAAGTGACCACGCAGTGAGTCTTTCTTGTATGGGTATGTGTGGGGCGATCCGTCTCTCCGGTTCTCCTCCTGTTTGCTTGAGTGCAATTTGCTTCCATTGCCTCATGCCTAATAAGTGGGCGTCAAACCTCATGACCCATTCCTTGAAAGGATTTCTTCTCGCTTCATGCCGTCATTTTGTCTTCTCTGCCCGTGAGTTCTCCTTCGACTGAGTCTCCATGAGCAAGCAGATGCTATGCTACTATGGGCCTCACAGGACTCTCAGGTCTTCTGATCACGTCATCTTTTGTCCTCCCTTCACCTGCGAAGCCTTGTTTGGTGACACCTTTTGGAAGTCAGGGTTTGTACACAAAAACGGTAGCGGTAGAACCCTGAAACCCAGTACAATCCTTACGGTAGCCCCTCTAGTGCCCTTCTAGCAACGGTACTCGTATCTGGCCCGACTGAAAACCCTCAAAGTAACCCCAAGAGTAACTTATCAGAAGCCTTACGCCAACCCTTGCAGGGTTTGAGGCTTAGGGCTTCGGGCCCAGCAAATAACCCTTGATTTTGAAGCCTGAATAGATACTCATAATCTGCCTTCCCTAGGGCTCCTCGCACCATCACACAGATCCCTTAGAAGGGGCCCCCACCCCTGTAATAGTGGTATGATAGGACTATAATAGGGCCTTAATATCATCCTTATAGTTCCTATTACAGGGTGGGGGGCCCCTTCTAGCAGATCCCTGTATTCTACTTCGCAGCTTGCAGCCAAGGACGAGCTTAGAGCAGATCTTCAACGACTTTGCCGCCATGCAGCAGGAAGAACGAGGCCCTGTGCAAGGCAGGAGAGCACGGAATTCAAAAAAGGGGCCTGAAAGATTAGAGTGAGGTTTGGGGAGTATGTATAGAGCTCCTGGACACAGATCGTTGAGCTTACTGACGCGTTTTGCGTAGGGGGTCGGAGAGACTTCAATTTTTGTGCGGAGTCCGGAGGACGAGCGCTTAACCCCTGGACATGGTCTCCACCACACCTTGCACTCTGCGTAGCGTAACATACATTCAAGCATTCATGGATTCATGCATACAATTTGCAAAGTGAAGAATATGGGAGAGATTGGACACCTGCTTCGAGAAGCCGGCATCGAGCCACCCGAAACCCTGACACCACAAAGCCTTGAGCGATTCCCACCCTGCCCCCCTCCAATCCCGGAAAGTTTTCCAGCTCCTTCATGCAGGCCTCTTCGTCGAAGGCCGCCAGGTGCAGTTGAACGGAGCAGCTGGGCTCGCAACTTGAGTGTTCTCACGATGGCTTCCTGGTCCTCCTTGTGTCAGCGATCCACCACGATTGGAGATGGAGGGAGAGAGAGAGGGGCAAGGAAACAGAGGGAGAGAGAGAGAGAGAGAGTTCCAAAACGTGTTCTGGGCAGACGGCAGCAATTGAAACTCTACACGTGCGGAGCTTGACCCTACGCCGAAGCCGCAAACCCGAACCCGGCGCCCAGAACAGCTTGTAGACCCAAGACCCTATGCCCGTTAATTATGCCGTGGAAGATTTATTGCAATGTAAAGTGCTGTGAAAAGAACTTAAGTTCTATGTCCCTAGGGGCAGGGCTTATTGGGTGAGTTTAGGGCTCGAGATCACGCCAAGGCCCCGGACGCCCGCACCGGATCGGTGGAAATGATCGCCTCGACCGTGTGACAGCGCTCAATGTGTGAAGGCGGAAATGAGCCCTAAACCCCAGAAGCTAAGATGCAGCATGTATGGTTTGGTAGGTCCTCTAACAGACTCTTAAAGTAATCACTTCTTGAAGCACTTCCAGGAAGATTCTAAAGCCAACCCATGAAGCCCTTGAAAGCCCCAAACCATTCCCTCAATATCAATACCACACAATACGTGAAGGCGCGGGTTGCGCTGTGCAAGGATCTGGCATGACGGAGATCGAGATGGAGCATAAGTTTTTCGGTTCGGCACAAGCAGTTAACAGCCTCTGAACTTGATATGGTTATACCTAGATAGGGGCATTTGCATGCGTTGTTTGCTCATGTGCGTGGTTTAGCGCACATGTGGTTATGGTTCATAGATTCACTACATACCCAAGCGAGATTTACCAGACAAGCTCCTTGAAGGAAATGGTTTTCTTCTCTTCGCATCCCCATGTCCGTTTCACCCAGGTTGTGCAGATTACCGATCGTATGTAAAGCGAGTGTGTGGGCGCGTGGCCCGCACGCTTTTGAATCCATCTCAATAGTGACCCGCCCGGTCTTGAAACAACAGCCTCAAGCAAGCCTCCACAACTGCAGACAAAGCCCTAAACCCCAAACAACAGCAGAGTTCGATATCGGCGGTGCTTAAACCCGGATGCAAGAAGTTTTAGGAGGAGATTTGGGGCTTAGGGGTGCAGCTTCAGTGGTCTGGGGTTCTGTACGGAAAGACACCCTCGGGTCCAGCGTCTACCTTAAATTCATGTACAACTGCAGATGGGTATATGTAAATTTGCGTATATAGTATATACTAACAATAATGATAATATGTATGTATATCTTATACATACGTGTGCAAGTATAAAAATAATAGTGTGTGTGTATATATATATATATATGTACACATGTTGTTGGTGGGGGGCTCGGGGGTCAGGAGTGACGGCTAAAGCTGCACCAGCCCCCGAGTCCCCCACCCCAAGACCGGCCGCGTGTCTTGAGCAAAGCCGAGTTAATGTTGCTAGGCTCCACCCGACAGCAGCAATTGCCCCCAGGTCCTGGCAAAGATGGTTTTGGTTGTTTGAAGTTTCAGTGAAGACTGGAAATTTGGGAGGGGCGGGTCTCGGATCTAAGCCATAGGTCGCTGATATCAAACTGTCAAACCGAATTTCGATACTCCGAGGCCCTAGACCTTGAACCCTAGACCTAAACCTTTCTTACGCCTTCTTCCCTTACTGCCAGAGCTGGGGGTTTTGCATGGCACAGGCGGGCTGGATGCGCAGCTGCTTCAAAAAGAGTGCTCCGGTTTATGGCTTAGCGCATGGATTGGCCAGGCCTTCCGGGTTTGGGAGTTGCCTGGTGTGTTCAGGGCTGAGTAGAGCTTGGGGTTTTGTGCTTAGAGTAGGCCCAGGCAGCCGGAGAGTTTGATGCTCAAAGCTTCCGCGGTTCTAGCAGCTAGCGGCTGCTCGAGAGCCCGAACCATGGACCCAAAAATGTTTCACATACTTGTAGACCCACGCTGTTCGGATTCCCAGGCTGTAATGCCCTGAACCTAGCACTTAAGTTTAAGAGCTCCACAAGCTATCTCCGTCCACATGAATTCCACAAGTGCTCCACACAAGAGCCCGAAACCTTACACGACTGAAAAATCCGATGCGTCTTATGAAAATATTCTGCACTGCGCTCTAAAGCCGCAATCCTAAACCCTAGGACTCGAAACTCAAACCTACTACCACGAGCACTCTCAACATGCCCCCCACAAAAAGCCAAGCCCAAAACCGCTAAAGAAACCCCTTATAAAACCCGCAAAAGGAACCCTTATAGCACCCCTAAACCCCACTAAACCCCCAGGCCAAACCCTGCCCCTTAAGCCCCAGCCCTCGCAGATGTTCCGGAAGAGCCCGGACCGAGTTTGCCCCCTGCCCCGGCCCCAGCACAGGACCCGAAGTGCCCGCGGGGGCGATTCTCCCTGCAGAAGTAAGAATGAACAAGAGGAGTCCCCTTATGGTCGCGATGCAGTTCAAGTGGAACATGTACCCCCTCTTCGGGTCGGGTCTTAAGCCTGACAGCTGTCTTGGCAGGCATTCGTCCTGCACCCCCGTATCCACAAGACAGCAGACACTTACTAATTGCCCGCTGCATCTACAGCTTCGAGTGCGAAGTGACTTATCCGAAGACTCGGCCCACAGACCTGGTATCGGCGGACCTTAGTAATTCGAACAGGGTTTTGGGTTGGGGTACAGGAAAGTACATACTGATATAGAGACTACAAGGGACAGATTGCCCCCTGAACCCCTCAGCCGCACCCTTAAAAATTTAGAGAACTCTTATCACAACTTCTAAAACTCGGTCCATCAAACGGAAATCCCCTAAAGAAGGTCCGGCGAGACCCGGTGTCGATCATGCGGCCACTGCTGGGCCCGGAAAGGCTCCGCCGTCGGGGAAGGTCGTGAAGGTTTCATTCGGGTTACAAGTAAGTGCACTTATAGTTTCGTCACTTCGAGTTAGCCCCATCTACTGCGTCCCCTGAATCACTGAACCTTCAAGTGGGGTCGTCTCAAGCAAAGCCTGTCTCCAGCAAAGGGGGGTCAGAGCATCAGACTTCGGGGGCGGGGGGGCGTGCCGTGTGCGTTGTAGACCCCACAGAGGTTTCGGCCTGCTATACAAGCAGCGTCCGCCCCCGCTCCATAGCCAAGTCTAGAATGCCAATGCAAGTACTACCGCTTTTGGTGTCGTGATGCTAACATCGTGCTCTTGTCGTCACTGCCATGCTCAGATCCTGCGAGATTTGAAGGCAAGAACTCTCCTTGTGGGAGTCCTACATTAAGCATAGCCGTCGTAGCCGTAGTCAACAGCCGTCGTAGTGCCGTAGCAGTAGCAGCACCAGCAGGAGTAGGAGCATGAGCTGGAGCGGTGGTGGTGGTGGTGGTGGTGGTGGTGGTGGTGGTGGTGGTGGTGGTGGTGGTGGTGGTGGCGGCATAGTAGCCGCGGCAGTGGCAGTAGCAGCAGTGAGAAGAAGAGGAAGACTATTTTCAATTGTCTAACAACAAGCACTATTGCTTGCACGACAGTGTTGTGATGCTCGTGATGTTGATGAATGAAGTGCCACTATGACACTATGATGTGATCGTTTTCACCATACCCCAGAAACTGAACAGCCGTTGTCAGGCACTGCCCGTGTTGTCTCGGGCCACCAGAAGCTGGCTTCCTAGTGTGGCAGTTGGAGTGCCAACTAAACTGTTTGGGGCTTCAAGCTCAGGGTCGTGCGGTGCAGAATGTAGGGGGTTAGCGCTTCAGGGTTGAAAGGTTCGGGACGTAAGGTTCAAGGTGTTAGGGTTTTTTGTTTTGTGTCGAGGAGTCTGAACCAGGGCTTTTCGGCATCTATATATGCTTCCATGCTGATGGCCGGGACAATCACAAGGGAGGGTTGCTTGTGATCCTGTGAGTAACGCTGATTCTGGAAAGCACGATGCAAGCATCCATAACCGCAGCAAAATAACCCAAATACAACCTGTACTCATACCACGACAGGCTATCACCACCGTCGGGATCATCGTCATCATCATCGCTGTACCATCATCCCTTCAAGCTCGAACATAGAAGATGAGGTGTGCAAGCGTGTGGTGGAGAAGGCCAAAGCGCCGGAGGAGTTTCGCAGAAGTGTTACTCTGATCCTTGCCTGCAGCCACAGTAAAGAATGCTGCTACCTACAGAAACCAAGACACAGGAGAATGAAAGCCCCTGTGCAAAGCATAAAGCTTTTGAGATGCTTGTGATCATAAACGCGGAAAGCATGCACGAGCGTGGCCATCGCCCGAAGAGACCCGAAACCTTTCTGAAGATTAAGGTACAGGGATGCTGTTTTATGCCCTACAGAGGGTTCATTCTGCCTACAGGAGCCTTCTACTTTAGGTTAGGCTTTCATTCAGAGCCCATCATGGAGCTTTGCGTGCGCAGCCCCGGTCAAAAGCCCTAAACCCTACTTGGATACTCTGTTGACCTACTAACTAGAGCTAGTCAACTTACTATGTCAAACGACACTAGGCTAAACCCTAAACCCCATCAAACAAGCAAGCCCGTATTCCACCGCATCTTAGAAGACGCTACAACATCAAACCCTGATGAAAACCCGACAAGGATCACACAAAGCCTTCATAAAAGCCTTGTAAGACGCTTAAAGAACCCAACGAGAAACCCCCTTCGCCAAGGAAGAGCTTGCTTCCGGGCTCTCCTGGCACGCAGTTTCTTTTGCAGGATTCCGTCAGGTGCGAGGTTCATAGGGTGTGGACTGTAGGACTAGGGGTTCCTCCAAGGAGCTTTAATTTAATGCGGCTCCGTTGCAAAATTGGAACGTATAGGGTTTAGGGGTTCATTTAAGGGTTCTTTCGGGTTCTGTGAGTTTGGGCTCTGAGGTGTTCGGGTATTTTTTGGGATTAGCGCGCGCCTTCGGTTCGGGGTTGAAGGCCTTGTGGAAACGAAACTTCTAAAAGCTTTGAGGAAGGGAGCTGAAGGCTTCCCATGTGCAAACTTTTGGTTTTGTGTGTTGTGCCGAAACCATAAACCCACACTCTGCCTTCTCGGGTCAAGATGTTGTGCAGGGGACTCCAAGAGGGGGCTGTCCTTGTTGTTTGCGCTTCCGGTGGCTCCTCCGAGTGTGAGACCTACTGCCCACATCGAAAGCACTCGACACCCCCCCGGTCTCTGAAGCCAAAGTCAGGCCTTGAGACCTTCATGGCTGATGGCCCTGTTCTCCAGAAATGTTCACCCGGCCACCTGAAAGCATCGGCCGAAGTAGAAGCCGAGCCACGAAGAAGTCGGCTCCAGGGTTAGGGTTTGTTGGTTTGGTTTATGAGTATCATGGCTTAGGGTAGTCTGGTTTTCGGTTTGGGGTTGGGGCTTTGGATCCCCCGTTCCGGGGTGCAGATTATTGGTGGTTTGAAGTCGAACTCTGATGTGCGGCTGTCAGGATAAAGGGCTTGCGTCCGTAAGGTTGAGTTAGGGTCGATTACAGTATCTATGTTGAGATATAGAATTATGAGGTTCCGGTTCTGTCGGAAACACACGTGAGTTCCGCGACCTGAATACAGCTGCGGAGTTCACACAAGGTCTCACCAAGAGCCTCTCCAAAACCACTGTCTACACTGCCTCAGCCCCGCAAGGTATCGCGACCCATAGTATCACCAGACCATCAACGGTAGCACTACTCCCAGGCAGAAGAACGAAAGCAAGAGTCAGCAGATGCGAAGAAGAGCACAGAAGCCCAGAAAAAACTCTCTGCCCTGGGCGCCATGCGGGCGATGCGGGGCCTCGTAGGATGCTGCCTCGCAGCCCTGCTCTGCTGGCAAAGATCTAGTTCAGGCGTCCCGAAATCTTCGTTTATTTCCAGCTCGTCTTGCAAGCTTCTGTGTTTTCGGACTGTTTTTGAGCACGCAGAACCAAGGACCCGGGAATCTAAAGCCAAATCCTTGACGCAGAGCCGTTTCTGGATAGAGTCACTCTTTAGACCTCGGGGTTAGGTGATGAGGCATGAGGGTGTCTGGTTGATAGCTTGTTTGCATTAGCTCGCGAAGTTGTGTGGCTTCTGGAATCCACTGTTGTTTGTGGTGTCCTCCCGACGCTCTATTCCGAGCATGACACGATTTGCTCCTTTCGAGACTCCTCGTTTGGTTTAGATGCTTTTTAGGGCTTTCGGGTGAGGGTTTCGTTCGCGGTTTCGTTCCATACCGGGCATGTCACGTTGGATGTGTAGGAGAAGTTCTTGGATATCATGCTGCTGCTTCTGTTGTTGCTGAGCTCTCACGGAAAGCTTTGGGAGCCCAATTTTCGGCTTAGCATGTTAGATTATTTGTTTAGGATCCGGGTTTATGTTTGATGGTAGGAGCTTCTGCATCATCAAAGTCTGGAAGCACGGATGGCCCGTCGAAACCAGGAAAATCATAGAGGGGCCCTTTTGACCTGCAGGCTTTTTGGTGCCATCACCTGGAGCCAGCGTGAAGCAGTTTGCGGGCAAGGCCCGCATGATCCCTGAACCATGCTACACCTTGAGGCTACCGTGCATTATCCTCAGTCCTCCACCTGATGCGTTCGAAGGCATTACTTGGGTTCGTCAAGGCAGCAGGAGCTTTTGCAGCATCAGCAGAAGCTGCAAGGATCTGTGAGTCTGTGATACAGAAACAGATGCTCCTGGGTCCTAGGGCACTAGGGGCAGTGGCACAGCAGTTTCAGAGAACCCTCGTTTGGAACAATCCTGGAAGAACCGATAAACGTTCTACACAACACTACGAGGTCGCATGAATTATTGAAGCCAGCTGAAACGAGAGACCTTTTGGTCCTTAAGACATCTGCCCCAAAAGACTTGCGGGCTTTTCAACCCTTCAATCCTGAATGCGACACCCCAGAGAAAACCAGGGTAACCCGCAGGTGCCACCACGCCTCCTTCGAAGGGCAGAGGCCGAAGGTACCGGCAGGGGAAGGGCGGAAGTGTTGTTGATACTGTAGGAGTCGGAGAAATTCGCAAAGATATCCCCGTGTAGTCCTTATTTAAGCATAATAAAAGACAGCCCGGAAGCCTCTCATTGCAGACTTCAGGGCTTCCTGTTCTCGGGTTTTGGGATTCAGGACTTTCGGTTTTAGCGCATTTTGGCTCACGACTTTGGTCTGGGCTTTGTTGTTCCCGGTTGTTGAGGCGCTGTAGGTTAGGGTGAACGAAAAATGGAGATCTGCCGGCTTCCCACGCTGCGAGTTCAGGTCTGGGTACGCAGGGCTTCATTCCTTTAGGGCTTAGCCCACTTCAACCTCCTAAGCTTGGAGGGTACTATAGGGGCCTCAATAATTACTGTTTTGGGGTTCCTCATTATAATTAGTTAAATGCCCCAACACCTACAGTAGGCGAGGTTTGAGGTTTGGGAACAATCAAAGGAGAGATGAAAGCAGAGAAAATGTCTTGGAAGCAACACGAAACACCACGACTCCCTAAGTTTGCTTGAGAACGAAGAGTAAGTAGTTCTGGATGCGTGCAGAAGTGGGATTCTACGCGAAAAGGGCGAGACTCTGATGGGATTTGGGATTAACTACAAATTCAAGTCCGAGAGGGCCTAGAATTGCACACGTCAGGGGCGGCAGCGGTGGTAGAGGAGAAAAGCAACTCCGTGAAAGCCTTTTGGAAATTCCTCCGGCCTCACGCTCAGAAAGGAAGTTCTCTTTGAGAGCTTGGTTAGTTTCGGATGTAAGATGTGGAGTGTAACTCTTATGGATGTTTCATGGCTTTATGCAGGCTCACCGACTCCGTCACGTTCAGATCGTTGTTTCGCTGGGAGCAAAGTCTCTACCCGTCGGCATGTGCATTACGCGCATTGCAGTGGTCAAACTGTGAAAACGCTTTGGCTCAGTCTCGGGTTAGTGTTTCACAACTTAGATGTACGACGAGTCCCGTCGCGCAAGAGTCCCCAGTAGACTGAAGTAGTAGGTTAAGTGCCCATACTATGAAGAAGTCGTGAACGAACCGAGGTGTGCCCCAAAAAAACATAAATGTCTTAACCTCAACACTCAGATCCTAAGCCCTACCAAAGCCTTCACAGTCGAGGCCTCACACCATCCGGGGGACCATCCTAGGCGCCCCTGGATTTATGGCATTGGTTTCAGAGCTGTTCGTCTGGGGTTTTGCGCTTGGGGATTCTAGGGTTTGGGGCGTCAGGCTTTCCGGTTTTGTCGGAGGCGCCGTGGTGAGAGGGCTTGAGGATTGTGAGACGCAGCTTTTGGGTTGAATCTTGGGTGTCTCATGCTTGGCGCTAGCGGCTCGGCGCTGTTGCACTCGAGCTTGCGACTCGAAGCTTCGGGTTATTTGTGGTGAGTTGGTTTGGGTTTCAGGATCCTAGCAAAGCTTTTACACCCTTAATGTCGGAAGGGTGTTGAGTTGTGGAGAGAAGGAGACGAGCCCCATATCAGGGCTCGTAATCCAGGATGTCCCCTGTGGGCGCCCGAAGCCGGCAGTCCCATAGCCATAAAGAGGTAACCGTAAGTATGCACCGAAAGAAGCGCCCTAAAGTCTTGAAGCACCCAAACCGTTGAACAAAGTAAGACCCTTTCCCGAAACCCTAAAGCCCTCAATTCCGGCAAAACCTTAAACCCCTAGGTCCACAGAATCCCGAAGCCTAAGTCCCATTCTTGAAGCCCTAAACCATAAACCCCTGAAGCCCTATACGGCCGGTGTCACTGCGCCCCTTGTGTCGGCAGGCTCGAGTGCTATGGTCAGCCGCGCCGTGCTCGAAAATGGGCAGGCGCCAGATTGGCCGGAGACTCAACCAAAGGCCTGCAAAAGCAAGACTTTGACGGTTTTGGTGGCTATTGCTTCCCGGTGTTCTGCAGGGTTTTTGGGATTTGAGGTGTGCGTGTGGGGGAGTTTCAGAGAATCAGGGGATCTCTATGGAGGTCCAGATAATCGAGTCTTTGTTCCTAGACTTCAACATCGGCCGTTGCGGAGATTCACGCGGATTTCTGTTACTGCAGCTGCTTGTAAGGTGTCAGTTTGGGGATGTCGGTTGTTTTGCTGTGTGACTCTGGGTCCGAAAAGTCATCTTTAAGCGGTTGCCTGGGCATCTGCTGCATTTCCCACCACTATGTCCCCTGCTATGTAGCCAAAGGCTACGACACACTTAGGGCTGCGAATCACGCTTTCAATGTCAAGACCTGAGACATCATCGTAGTCGTCTATCTCTGGCGGATTCACCTCGACATGTTGGGGGAATTCAGGCGGCTCACAGTCAGAAGCCTGCGCGGTTCCAAACCCGAAGGAGACCCTCAACCCAGGTCTCTGTTGCCCACAGCAGCACTTGGCGTGTTGGCTCTGCTCTGCGGCGGGGACGCCCAGCAGAGGATCTGGTGTTCTCCGGAAGCTGAGGCCCCAGGTATCCCAAACCCAAGGCCTTCATCTTCCATTTGCCGGGCTCCAAGCCCTAAGCGCCTTCATCACGAGCAAAAACAACAACACATGAGCATTTGTATTATTATTCGGTTCTCCTCTTCATGATCGTCATACAACCGGCATCACCACAATCATTGTGTTCTGCTTCATGGTCATGAACGTCAGCAGCAACTTCACTCTGTTATGATTGGCATGACCGTTATCACAATCGCGCTTGGAACTACCAACAACATCACCACCGCCTAGCAGCACCAACAGGAGCGGCTGCAGTCGCCGCCTCACGACAGCTGGAATCCAACTAGACT